TCCAGCAGAGACAGAGAGGACACAGACCGCAGTACTGGTCAGCTCAGGGCTCCAGCAGAGACAGAGAGGACACGGACCACACTACTGGTTGAGAAGCGCTGTGTGGGGTTGTATGTGTGCGAGTGTTGTACTCACCAGGCAGGGCCCTGTCTCTGTAGTCCCTGTCCGACAGTCCTGACCTCGCGGACTCTGCAGCACTGCAGTCTGGCAGCCGGTTTCTGTGGGCCACCAGAAACAGGAGAGTGAGGAACACATTCATTCTAATTGTCTCCTTTTCTCATTTTCAACATCTCTCTCACAATGTCTCACTCCCTTCACCCTCTCACTCTCCTGCCATCTCGCCCCTTCACAGACTCTCTCCTATTCTGTCTCACTGTTACCTATACTGTACATATTCAAAAAGTCTTTATTACAATTACAATTTATTACCAATGAACATTACTGCAAGAACTTTGAATGTCAAGACAAGCAAAGAGCACAAAAATAGGTCTAAGTCTCTGTCACTGCCTCATTCTTTAATGCTCTATCTCTCTCCTTGTCTCCTTTATTCTCTCTCACTTCACCCTTCGTCAGTTATTTAACTTTCACGGTTTCAAACTCAAAGAGCTGTATTAAGGTGACAAATGAATTAGTGTTGCCAAACTAATAACAATTAGCAGAGCATTTACAAATATTTCAAACTATAATGTCTTTTTTGAGAGGCTCACTGTCTCTATCTGTGACAGGAGACCACACACTGGGCTGCAGCTCTAGGATTGAAGCTGTTTTGATTCCGGCAGGTGTGTGAATTCTGGGATAAGAATTTTTATTTTAGAGGAGAATGTTTGTCTAATCCCAGAGTATTTCTACCAGTGCAGCAGAAAGTGCATCTTCTGTCTCTGCTTCTCCCTGCTGGCAGAGGGAGCACAGCCTGTCCTCCCTGGACAGTCAAGTCTGCCCATGTCCAGTTTCTATGGTCAGGCTTTGATCACTGAGCCTGTCCTCCCTGGACAGTCAGGTCTGTCTCTATCTTCACTCACCTTCTGTGGTCACTAAGCCTGTACTTCGTCAGAGTCTGTTTCTTCTTGCTGTCTCTCCCTCTGCTCAGATACTTATCCACTATGTATTGCGCTATAAGTCCGGTAGCCTTCCAGTTTGTGTTGCGTTTGTGTTCCACTGGGTGAGGCAGTGTTGTCTGTTTGTGCTGTAATTTGTGGGGCGGAGTGGGGGCTCTGTGGCTGAGGATCTGCGCCTGTGGCTGGAAGGTTGGCGGTCCAAATCCCGCGGCCGGCCAAGGAACTCTACTCTGTTGGGCCCCTGAGTGAGGCCCTTAACCCCAACTGCACCAGGGGCGCCGTATAAATAGCTGACCCTGCACTCTGACTCCCAGCTTCTCTCCCTGTCTGTGTGTCTCATGGAGAGCAAGCTGGGGTCTGCGAAAAGACATTTTCCTAGTGCAAGAAATTGTCTATGGCTAATTAAGTGATCCTATTAGCCATCTCCATCTCCAATACCATCTCTCGTGGTATCTCTCCCTCACAGACAACTTTACTCTAACTCACTGCTTCTCTCACACTTACCTTCTCAGTCTCTGGCTGCCTCTCCTAACTTCTACTTTGCACCTTTGCCGTCTCTCTCCCCCTTCCTCACTCTTTCCCATCCTTGTACCGACCCGGTCAGGCTGAGCTGTATCAGCGTTACCTGTTGGAGGTACCGGGCAGGGGCCGCCCAGTCTCCGCTCGGACACACCAGCAGTACCCCGTGGCCCGGTGGCACTGGACTGGGCTGAACCGGCCGTCGGACCTGCACTCCGGCACAAACAAGTCGTCCCTGCCCAGAACCCGGGCCTGGTCCAGGACCTGGATTCTCTCCCTCTCGCAGGACAGATGGGTGTCTGCAAACACACACGGATACGGACTACATACATGGACACTGTCCTGTACACTGAACACAGGTGGAGCAGGGATGGCAGCCAAGCCCTTATCAGAGAGTTCATTTGATCCACTTAAATCGTCAGCCGCAAAAAAATATACCAGAGTAGCACGAACAGACACATTTCCAAGCACATATCCAACAATACGCTGTTCAAGGTGTTGAGCCCTTTGCGCTGGCTGACTGCCCACGGGCGTGTGAAAACCTGACTCGGGTCAAGCTGCTGTGCACTGGGAGTCTTGCTGCCAGCACGGAGCCCAGACTACCTGTAGGGCGCTTGGCCGAGCGGTTTCCTCTGGGGTCAGAGTTCAACAGGATGGTCACCCAGAAGGGTGGGGCTGTGATTTCTGTTAAAAAAAAAGGCATCAGAGAAGATTTTTAAAAACGTATGTGATAAGTAAAAAAAAAGGTTCATCCTAAACGTGCACAGCAAGACTGAAATCACCTCTGAGAAAAGACTGAATGGTCACGTCACTCACCTTCGGCTGGGAGACTGGGGGCGCTGTTGGACTCGGGGGTAGGCCTCAGTCGGCTCCCCTCTTCTGAATTCAGAGACAAGAACAATTGGAGAGCCACTGTTACTGAGGTTAGCGCAATCTACTCCAGAAACACGTGACGCAGCTCACAAACAGCACATAGGCCACAGGGTAGTAGGATCAGTTTTGTAGTGCGTGCCCGTGTGCACTGGGATGCTTAGACTTTTACTTTGACTTTTGGTGTAAGGGCACAGCTTGTTAGAGCACAGGATGAGTTCTGTGGCTCAGATATCACTGGGTCAAGCCCAGCTCATGTCACGGGTGAACCTTGACTGGGATTCCCCAAGAATAAGCCAAGGTAGCGCATTGGTGTGGAGATACGTGTGGGATTAGCCAGCTAGGACCCTCTCAGAGATTTTGTTCAACTTTCTTGTGCACAGCAATACCACACATTTCAAAATGGAGTAAGCCTTCACATGATTTATGGGACAGAATAAAATGGAAGAAAGCACAAAGCACAACAGGGAGTTGACACAAACACATCAGCATCCTGAATATCACCTCTGTTTCACATATAGAGCTTGTGATATGCAGCATATGTGTACACGTCAGAAAATAACAGCCATAAAGTCCATCTTATATGGTCAGTTTCGCAGTTAATATTGAATGTGCCCTGTCCAAGGAGGTCCCACTGGACTGACTCTTCCTTTCAGACACACAGCATGTGGTATGTGGTAAACCCAGACCTTTTCCTCACTGTGCTGCTCCATGGGGGAAAAGCTAACGTAAGTGACACTTGTTTAAGTAACGGCAGACCTGGCTAATGTGTCAGTTTCAGACAGGCTAATGGGTTTACAGACAGTGGTGGGCACAAAATAGCAAGAGGAAGACTCACTCCACATAAAGCTGCAGAGCTACCAGAGAGGCCTGTTAACAATTAGTTCTGGGGCCTTCAATCCTGCCCTGGAGGGCAGGCATGTCTGCAGGCTGTCTTTACTACGACACCAATGTACTCGTTATTGGTTTAATGGGCTCAGTTTAACAACTTTGCCATGAACTTCTCCTGCTGGTGCTTCTCGGATGCCTAGGAAACCCACAGACAGTATAGACGTCCAGGAACAGGTCTGGACGCCACATGTGGAAGGGAGGCAATGCTGTAACCTGCTCTAACTTAAACCTAGAATCGAAGGTGAAGTGTCCTGCTATCGGGGCCGTTCTCTATTCGTTTTGCAGGGCCGTACAGCTACCGCTCATTTGTCATTACAGCAGGCTAAAGGCTGCATTAGCTTTGCTATTGCACGTCTATAGCAGAGGTCCACTCATGGTTCTACCTGAGGGACATGGTTAAACTGGGCTGAAACAGCCTTGGGGTACTGTACGCCCACCTGAAGCCCACCTATATACATAAAGCAAGATGTTAAAAGAAGAGTTACAGGTCGGCTATACCAGCTGAATAGATCTGTCCACGTGAACGGAAAAAATCTGTGTGTCTTTTCCTTGGGTGACGTTTCTCCAGGCTCTCCTGGGGGAGCCCTCCTGGCAGTCCCAAAGGACTGTGGTCACGGCGCCTTGCTGTCTTCCTGCCTGGACAGACACCACCAATCTTACCTCTCTGAGCAGAGTCTCTCTCCGGACTGGATGGCCTTTCGGGGTATGAGCCTGCCGAGAGGAAGACACAGTTAGGCAGTCGGACACCGGCTTCTAATCAAAAGAAAGTAAGTCAGCGTGCTGCACTGTGACTGGAGGAGTGTAAATCCACTTGCTGAGCTCAGAGTAATGCAGGGGCAAGTACAGGGGGTAAAATCAGCACAGTCCGCAGGCCTGGTCAAGAAGGTGAGGGTCAATGCTCGTGCTTCACAAACAGCACTACTGTGGCTTTTCCAAAGAGTGCTGGAGAGTCCCGAGCTTGTAAGGCAATAGTCAGGATAAAGCACTCGGAAGGGAAAAAAACAAAAGTGCAAGTCAAACAAAATATTCAGAGAGGGGAGATCAAACGCTAAGAGAAAGTCAACACCGAGACTCGCGGGGAAAGAACTTGATGACTGAGCACGCAACAGCCGGAGAAGAAGGATTAAACACCCGAGGGAATGAGGTATGTGTTGATCTAATCGGCAACAGGTTTAGACAGTCTGCCGCTCTTTGTGCGTACGGCTCCCATGGAGTTCAGACCATGCAGCGATGCGGTCAGTGGGTGTGGGAATGCGGGCTGAGGGGCCTGCATTTCCACGGGCACTACGCTCAGGGTTTGTCAATACCACCCATCTGTAGTTCTTCATCTGCATCAAGACACAACAAGCGGGAGTTCTCGAAGGCAGTGACGCCCCCAGATATAATTCCACCTTGCTAGCCCTGTTAAGCTCTGTCAGCAGGCAGGTATCGGAGCACAGCAGCCCGACTCGGCCATTTTGCTCTTTCAGAGTCGCAGTTGGCCTTGCAGTGACGTTCCTCGCCAGTTTCCCCCTCGCATGGCTGCTCAGTCTGGAGGGGCAGCCCGATCTAGGCAATGCCCGGGTAGTAATTAATGGTTGCTTTCCCCGTGCTCAGAGCGATACTCTTTTTATACTTTTTCTACTCTTGATCTTTGCCTTCTGTATGTTTGTAGAAAGCGCCTTGGTCTTCATGGTTGAATCTTTGCTTGAAGTGCACAACCTGACTGAGGCACCTAATAGACATTCAGTCTGTGTGTTTATTCTGAAATCGTGTGAAGCACTATGTCAGCACAAAGGGGTCCTTTAACTACTTGTGTGATTTTGTAATTTTGTGTACTTGAACGAACATAGGTGAATACTTCTACAATCAGCATATTTTAGTTATTGATTTTTCTTAGCAGTTTCTGCTGACATTTAATTTAATTTAATTTGTTCCAGCTTGAGCACTGAAGTTCTGCTTAAAAATATTCACTTAAACGATGTGCATACATCACTTGTAACTCAACAAATTGGCTTGTCGTTGGAAGAAGGAAAGTACTTCTTACAAGGCACTGCAATGTGCCATATTAAGGTTTCAAAAAACTGCCAAGAGAAAATTACCAGGACACAGAAGCAAATTCACATTCTAGCTGGGAGACATAAACTTACCTACTGATTCACCCACAATTCTCCACGTTTGGAAAAAAAAGTCAGGAGATGAGGGTGGTACTGTACAAATTTGAGCTCTGGCTGCCAGTATTTTCCATGAACTAACTCTCAGTTTGAAAACAGTACTGAGCCGTGGGCTGTGCTCAATTCATCCTTTCAGGCCAGGTTGCCATTTGTGCCTGAACCGTGCATCTGTCACTTTTCCACTGAAAAAATGCCATGGATTTAAAAAGAAAGGGTGTTTGGCAAGGTGAGTGTTATCACTATTGCTTTTGTTATGGATCCGGTGATTTGACAGAGGTGACGTGTGTCTGAACAGTCAGATGATATTCCCACACCAACATTACATCACCCATCACATGCAAAGGTACAGACCTGCCTCTGTTCTCCAAGCACAAGTGCATTTTGTTTCTACTCCCCAGCTTACCTGTGCAGTTGGGTCGCTGATGCAGGACTGAAGTGCCGCTCACTGGCTTGCCATCTGGGGTGGAGCACCAGCAGTACCCAGTCTGGCTGTGGCACTGAACCTGTGGGCACAACAACAACACACACACACACACACACACACACACACACACACACACACGGGAGCTCAGTCTGGGCATCAGGGCTTCTGCACATGACCTCCCTCTCCGCTCTTGTGACATGAGCTCCCCATCAGCCCTGCTGGCTTTGAAAGCGCTGGGGCACAAGGCGGAACTCCAGCCTCCCAGGAGGAGATCCAACTGTGCAACTGAGACGCTTTTGTGCACACAAGTCTGGCGCATCCATTGGTATTTTCTTGTTATTTCCAAAAAGTCAAGATAAAGAACCAGAACTAGCTGCATTTGTGATTTGTGTGATACAGCAACTACACAGTGTACATAGTGGTACAGCCCATTTTCTCAGGAATGTCCCTTGAGATGTGTGTGTCAGCTCATCCTAGGGAGGGAGCACTGCGCTTATGTATTTTGGGGTGTGTCTGCAAGACTGTTTAGAGAAAACGTTTCCTTTTCTGGGACGGTCCACCTAACGCCTGTCCTTTTCAACAACGAGGCCATCAACAAGAACCAGCGCTGGCGGTACCTGCAGGAAGGTTCCCTCCTCGGTGCATTCTGGGACAAACACACCGCCTGCATCACTGCGGCTGCTGGAGTCCAGGGCCTGGGCGCGTGCCTGCTGGCACTTCGACTGGGCAGGGTCTGCAGTAAACGATTGACAACTCGCGGTCAGTCTCGCATCTGTAGCATGGTGCACCCCTCTTTATCTCTCCCCTGTCTCTCCCTGCCTCCCCCTGGTCCAGCACACTGTGTGGCCTGGTAGAACGGGGCCTGTTCAGAGTGAGCAGCGACACAGCGACAGAGACTCCTGGGGCTCTGAAGGCACTGCAAACCCACCAGGTGATGCAATTGGTCTCATGACCAATTTTTTCTTAATCAGTCTGTGGGCTTGCTGTGCAGCTTTGGGGAGGCAGGGAATCTTTAAACTGGGTATGAGTGTCTTGGGCAGGTTTTGCAGCAAACAGCCACAAGACTCTACGATGATCTTTACTCTGTCACCCCTCTCTCCCTCTGTCCAACATACTCTGCTATGGACATAAATATCTCTTTTTCAGCGGTCTAACCCCCCCCCCAGCCACCCTCTCACCGGCGCAGTGCGCTCGGGGAGCGATCCTTAGCTCCGTGTTGATGCAGTGCGCCCTCTGGAAGGTGCAGAGGGATTTGTAGAGCCGACCATCGCTCCCACACACGGATCGGTGTCGCCCCTTGGTGCAGTCCAACACACAGCCACGTGGCCAGACGCTCTCCGAGATCAGGACCTGCCCCGGAGTGGAAGAGAAGAGAAAGATGGGCAGAGAGAGGGGTAATGGGTAAGAGACAGTGATAAATAATAATAATAATTTCTTACATTGCTTATATAGCGCTTTTCTGGACACTCCACTCAAAGCACTTGACAGGTAATGGGGATCCCCTCCACCACCACCAGTGTGTAGCCCCACCTGGGTGATGTGATGGCAGCTATAAGGCACCAGTACTCTCCCCACACACCAGCTCTCAGTGGGGAGGAGAGCAGAGTGATGAAGCCAGTTCAGAGAGGGGGATTATTAGGAGGCCATGATTGGTGAAGGCCAGGGGGAAATTTGGCCAGGACACCTCTACTCTTTTTGAGAAACGCCCTGGGATTTTTAATGACCAACAGAGAGTCAGGACCTCGGTTTACATCTCATTCGAAGGACGGCGCCTTTTTACAGTATAGTGTCCCCATCACTATACTGGGGCATTAGGACCCACACAGACCGCAGGGTGAGCGCCCCCTGCTGGCCCCACTAACACCTCTTCCAGCATCAACCTCAGCTTTCCCAGGAGTCTCCCATCCAGGTACTCACCAGGCTCACACCTGCTTACACAGAGCTGAGGGAGAGACGACTAATCGCAAATGCTGTTTCTTTTGAAGATTCCTGACATTTAAAATAATGAAATGCAGGGACTTGGGTAAAAAATGCATAGGAAAGCTTGGTTAGGAAAATATCAACGATATCATTTCATGTGTATTTTACACTGCCACAGTCTACACTTCTCCAGCACCCTAATGAATCAAAATGAGTAGCCCAGACACACAGGGAATGTGTCTGTGAAACAACACCAAGCACAGACAAGAGGAGGCACAAGCCCAGCAGTGTCGGGGCAGACCTGGGATAGACGCATCACGCAGAGCCTGCAGCAGGAGCTTAAGCGCCAGAATACTGGGGGGGAGGCAGATGTCTGGAGGCAACACTGGATATTTCCAGGCGTTCAGAGATACACATTTTAAAATGACAGGACTGTGCAAAGGCACAGCGATATATACAGTTTAGAAATATGTTTGTGCAAGTGCGTGAAGGCAGGCCTCTGGCAGAGGAACAGTGTGTTACTGTCGCAGGGGCAGAGAGGGGAGTGGGGACAGCAGGGGTCGACACGCCGCCAGGGTCTGGTGTGTCTGCAAGGACTGGGGCAACGAAGCGAGATTTGGGGGGGGGGGGCTGGGAGGATCGTTGTGTGTATCTTGGCACCCTTCACCCCTGGAACTTGTAAGAGCTGGTTTTGTTAACTGCTCTACAAACAAACCGGCCTAATTGACGGGCCCATTACACACTCCTCAATCCCCAAGCACTCACTCACTTTCAATCAAGTTTTTTTTCGTGCGGTCGTCAGGGGCTCCGGAGCTGCACCCTGCTCGCCCCGCCGGGGCGCAGCCTGCTCCTCGGGAACGGGTCACACACACGCCGGCTCGGTCCGGCCTGCCGCAGAACGTGCCCCCCACCCCCACCGCTCTTTACAAACACAGCGCGAAAGGGTGCAGATCTGGGCACTGGTGACAACCCAGGAAAAAAGAACTGAACTCTATACTTTTGGCTGGAGGATGGGGGTGGGGTGGGGGAGAGGAATTGGTTGCAGAAAATTTGGGAGTCGGAGGAAGCAGAGCAGCTTTTGGCTTCGGATCCAGATTCACGAGCCTCCCAAAAGAGCAGATGTACAGTTAGAGAGCGAGAAGGATTGGAGGGATGATGAGCAGAAAGATACATAAAGGGCCCATTGCCTCTGTGTTACTTACAACCATGCTCACCCTTACGAAAACAGCAGAGCCCTAATGAAGCACTTGGCAGCCCCTCTCAGACAGTCCGTGTGCGCCCCGTGCCCGCCAGCTGCAATTCCAGCTCGGGATGCCAGTTTCCTCGCTGCTGCCCACTGGAAACATGCCGGACTTGAAGCCACAAATGGCAAGCGCTGGGAATTTTGATTGAACCCAGACCCTGGTGCGGATTATTAAAATGCTGTCAGATGTGCGACTCAGTGTGCTTCAGCAAAAGAATGTGTGTTCACGAGCTCTGTTATTCTCCCGCACTCCTGCAGTCCTCAGGCCAGGTCATCTCGGCTGTGCTTCACCCATCCTGAAAGTGATCGATCCTCCACTCAAACTGTGGGCCCCTTCCCAACGTAAGCACGTGGACTTCATTCCTGAAGGGCCCCTCACAGCGCCTGTCCTGTTGGCCTCTGCACCTCTTGCC